AGCCTGAGATGGGGAAGGTTCATGGTTGATACCCATTAAAGGACTTAATGAAATAATTATAATTCACACCCCAGAGCATCAAAGAATCAATACTGGGGAACTTTGAGCCACTCTGGGTGTGGCATCCCACTGGCTTCACAGTTCAGCACTGCAGGCAGAGCTGGTGGAGGCAAATGCAGTTGACATGGAAGTTGCATTAAAAGAGGGCAGTAATAGATTAAAAGCTGCCAGGATCCTGGTGACTGGATGTCAATATCTTTTATCCCCTACCTCGCCCCAATTCTGCCCCCTCCATGCACTATTAGCCCAAATCAATGGGCTGTCAATTGACATCACCAGCTACAGCATTAATGCGAGCTCACAAAGGAAGCCCGGCCCTATATTATCACTTCTCTCGCTTCCAAATTACCACATAATGCAGGGCGCAGGCAGCTTGTGACATGTTAACACTATACACGATTTGTTGGGATTGGACTAAACATTTCACAGCTAAAGATTTCATCAGAGACTTGATGACACAAATAAACTACTATCCACGGGGAAATCACTGGAAATAATAGAATTAGGCATTGTTTGGGAATCTGGAGGGACAATGGAGGGATGATGATGGATGAAAAGAAGTGAGACCTACAGCTGGTGGCCTGCTGTGGAAGCAGCTTCAGGAAAAGGCTGCAATTAAAAGGCCATTTTGTTGGTCCCACTAAAGAACAAGTATTCAAATTTTAGGAGTTGAATTGTGCTCTCTCCCCACCATTAAAAAAAAAAAAAAAAAGTTGAAATCCTAAACCCAGGACCTCAGAATGTGACCTTTATTTGGAAGTAGGGTCTTCACAGAGGTAATCAAGTTACAATGAATGAGGTCATCAGGTAAGCCCTTAATCCAATATGATTGGTATACCTGTAAAAGGGCAGATTGACACAGACATGCAAAGAGAAGCCATATGAACACGTATGGGGAGAAAACAGCTAGCCATATAATTGGAGTGAGGCAGGAGGACCTGAGGCTACCAGAGGCCAGGAGTCAGAGGACAGTTCAGTTCCTCCTCTAATACCTTTAAGAGAGCATGGTTCCACCCATACCTTAATTTCAGACTTCCATCTTGTAGATAGAACTGCGAGATAATAAATTTCTATTGTTTTAAGCTATATTGTTTTTGCTTATTATAGTACTGTTAGGAAACATTATTAGAGCCCAGCACTGTGGTACATCCTGTAATTCATAAAGCAATTTAATAAAAAAAAAAAAAAGGATGAGGATGTAGCTCAGTGGTTAAGTGCCCATGTATTTAATCCCCAGTACTGCCCCCGCCACCTATTTTTGTTACTAATAGTGATGGACCCAATTTTGAGCATCTCTGAGTCAGGCAAAGTGAAATGCTCCACATAAACTGGCTTCATTTCATCCTCATGACAAACCAATAGTTGAGCATTTTACCCTCCTATCTTTACACAGGTAAAGATACTGAACTTCAAAAACAATAATTTGCTTAAGGTCACACACCTTGTAAGTGGCAAGCATCTTTCAACAAAAATGCTTCTGATGAATAGTTCTGAGGTTTTTTTCAAGTGGTTACTTGCTTGTAATCTGCTTTTTTCAGTCCCCACTAATTTTTTCAACCCTTGGGTAGGGAATCTATATCCACCATAGTTTGAGACTTCAATGTCACAAATAGATGATTAAAAACCAAGAGCATAGCCACTTCAGTTCCTCAAAAAGCTGGAATCTTGTCTTAAATATCTATTGTACCTTCTCATCCATCTATCCAATTACCTTTAACAGATCTCTCTACTTCCAAACCCATTGGGTGGGATGGACAGCCCTGCAGCCACTTGCTCATTAACTGATGAAGTTCTATAAAAAAATGAGTTTTTGTTTTGATCTGTGTGACTACATGGGTGATCTTAAAAATACACCAAAGTCAGTCATGAAAGACAATTCCACTCACATGAAATGTCCAGAATGGACAGATCTTTCAAGGCAGAGAATAGATTGTCTAAGATTGGAAGTAGGTGGTTTAGGGAGAAATGCAAATGGGATTTTGGTGTGACTAAGTTGTTCTAAGTTGACTGTTGTATAGTTCAGTTCTGTGAACAAATTTATAAATGGGTAAGTTACATGTTAATTGCATCTCAAAACTGTTATATACATTTTTTAAAAAGTAGTCTTTTGAGAAGTGGAACTTCAGGAGTAGCAATAGTGGGATCAGGAAAAGCCAGAGCCTTTTCCCACTGAGCTACCCCCAACACCCACAAGGCCTCAGAGGACTAAATTCCTTACCCCTCCATCCTCACTGCCAAGTACCCAAGAAAATCTGTATTCAAGATATATGGGGCTGAGGATGTGGCTCAAGCGGTAATGTGCTCGCCTGGCATGTGCTGGGCGCTGGGTTCAATCCTCTGCACCACATAAAAATAAAAAATAAGATGTTGTATCCACCGAAAATTGAAAAATAAGTATTAAAGAAATTCTGTTTAAAAAAAAAAGATATATCCCACCTCACTGCCAGTTGGGAATTCTTTGCCTAGAACATGGAGTATTCAGAGCTGACTTCCTTATTTGGTTAGAAAATTTGTCACAGCTTCTGACAAGGTTTACAGTGTCTTCCCCAGGTATCCTGATGGTTGTTTTATAATCAGCTACTGCCATCTAGTGGACAATGACTCCCTTACACCTATGTGAACACTGCACAAGTTAAAAATTCTTTTTCCAAGTCCCACCAATCACATCATTCTACATTAATACAAAAGCCCACTTGAAAGTCCTAGGGTCTGAACAATAAGCATTTGAACAAAGAACTGCTTACAAAAACTCTCATCTTCTTTACCTTAATTATAGAGAATACTTTTAATTGCTCGGGCAAGAGAATCTAAGTTGAGATCAGTCTACCCGATTTAGCAAGACCCTGCCTCAAAGGGCTGGGAATTGTAGCTGTGGTCCAAGTTTCCTTGGTTTCAATCTCCAGTACCCCACCCCCCACCCCTAAAAGCTAATTACACTGGGTAAAACCTTGAAAGCTATAGTGGGTAACATTATAATAAGTCTCATACAATCATAACCTTCCAGAAGGGCAAGTTTTTGCCATCCTAGATTTATATACATTCAACAGGTCCAATTATCTTAACCCCTATAAGGTTGGGATGGGGAGTGCCAATACTCTCATGGTTACTTTCATCTTTAATTTGTTGTATATAAGCAGAATGCATTAGTTTTACTGTACTTAGGATAGTAATGTCAGATTCCATCTTAAAACCAGCTTCTGAATGTAGGGGCTCCTGTTCCCATGCAGTTTTTTAGTTGTAGTTGGACACAATACCTTCATTAGTGGTGCTAGAACCCAGGGCCTTGCACCTGCTAGGTAAGCACTCTACCACTGAGCCCACAAAACCCGTAGTATTTTGTCTTTGAGGAACTATGGCAGAATAGTCCCAGAAGCTAACACTGCAAACATCCAGACACCAAAGTTAATGCCAACAATCTGAGATGCTATAAATCCCCTAGTTAAGGACCCAAACAAAAATAACCAAGTCTTGGGATTCAGCTAATAGCTATATGGACTAACTACATCTGTTGCAAATATTGTACCAAAGGGCTGGGGATGTGGCTCAAGCGGTATAGTGTGCTCTGGGTTCGATCCTCAGCACCAAAGATGTTGTGTCCGCCAAAAACTAATATTTTTTAAAAAACTTTAAAAAATATTGTACCAAATTATTACAACCATAAGCCCATAACCACATATAATTATAGCTGGACTACCAGAAAGCAACACGAGATCAATGCCATATACAGGCAAAAGGTTTCTGAGACCAAGCTTGGCAACTTAGAAAAAAGGTAAAAAAATGTAGCTTGGTAGCAAAGTAATCTGGGGTTAAAAAGCCCCCCAAAGCTATGAAAAAAATCTTATTACCATACATGAGCCACATACTATAGCACATGGATTTAACTCCAAGAAATAACAAGGAAGTCCAACTTAAGCTCAAAACTCAGCATAGCAATTCCCTGTTGGGACTCAACCAGCCACTAGGTGGCATAAGCCACTTTCTGTGGCTTAGAAAGTACCTACACACCATGTGACCCACAGGAAAGTATTTCCCATGAACTCAGGAATACCTTTGGTATGTACTTCTGTTCTTTGTTAGCCAAAGAGACACCCAGGTAAATTAATAAGCTCTTGTTCCTGATACATTGGTTTTTTGCCCTTCTTAACTGAAGACACTATTGAAGCTTTTAGGATGAGCAAGACTTTTCACTTTTGTTATTCAACTTCATAGCCAATTCTGCCAAATTCCACCCATAGAACTGGCTTTTAAAACTTGTCACTTAA